TGGTGGGAAAAAAAGAGAGGTCAATAGGAGGGAGTTAGAGATGAATAATTTTATCTATAGATAGACTTAAGATTAAGGTGTTATGTCCGCGTTTTGTGACTTACACACTGGGGTTGGTTTAGTGAGATTAAGATTAGGTTGCGCGTATCTTTGGCTTCATCCTGGTTACATTTGCCTGGTTCTGTTTTTGGGGTTTGGCAGAGCGAAAGAAGGTATTTGGACACCTGTTGAAGTTACGGGGGGTAAGGGGGGTTTGTCTTAGTTAATTCTATGTCTATCGTTTAAATACGTGTATACGCGTATACGTGTACGTGTACGTGTATACGTGTATACGTGTATACGTGTATACGTGTATACGTGTATACGTGTATACGTGTATACGTGTGTACGTGTGTACGTGTACGTGTACGTGTACGTGTACGTGTGTACGTGTACGTGTATACGTGTACGTGTGTACGTGTACGTGTGTACGTGTACGTGTGTACGTGTACGTGTGTACGTGTACGTGTGTACGTGTATGTCCTGTGACCATTGACTAAAATGCACCTCATGGTTGTATGATGTTGGTAAATGATATTAAATAAGTCCAGCTACAAGTTATTTGACTGCGTCGAGACCTTTACGGTCATAGCTGAGTCATAGCAATTTCCCCCCCCAAAATTAAAAAAGTACCAAATGCATGACATCACAGTTATGTGTGATCATGGGCTGATTTGTCATAAGTCCATCGAGATGTCCCATTTGAGAGGTTAGTAGGATTGAATTCGAGATCTTTCATGGCCCTGAGGTAAGAACCAGATGCCAGGTATAGATTCAGTCTAGCTACCCCCACATGGTCATGGGCCCGGAGCGAGAAGAGGTATACGTTTCACAAGGGTTGCTGGTTTCTCGAGGCCTGGTGATCAAGCTTGACGGACCAAGTGAATTACATTCGTCCTGAAGATCTTATAATCCCTAGATCAAAGTGTTTAAATAGTATGTGATTATGTAAAATCAACCATTATATGTACATGCTTATATGCATGGGGCAAACCATTAATGCACGATATACATAGGGGGGGAAAAGATACTGTGATGGTACAGTAGGGGTGATGTTATATATGAATGGTAGGGCGTCAGGGAATAGTTTAAGTAGAATATCAGCTTTGGGTGCTGGTGATGGGGTAGTTACCTCTTCCTTGAGTCTTAGGGAGGGTTGTGGTGTTCTCCGTCTTTGGTTTACAAGACCAAGGTAATTAATATACTACTAAGACTCTTCACTTCAAGATACTGTTTTCGATTATACCGGCAATAGGCATAAATACTAGTAGAATTATAAAGTATAGAATTGAGGCTAGTTGGCCGATGATGATGAATGGGTGTTCGACTGGTTGTCCTCCGATTCATGTTAATGTGATGAGGTCAGCTACTAGTAGTCAGAACAGGCATTGACTAATTGGTCGGAATATTATGCTCCGTTGTTTCGATGTGTGGAGAGACGGAACAATAGCCAGGACTAGGATGGATAGGAGTAGAGCTAGTACTCCCCCGAGTTTGTTGGGAATAGATCGGAGGATAGCGTAGGCGAATAGGAAATATCATTCGGGTTTGATATGGGGTGGGGTGCTGAGAGGGTTGGCTGGGGTGTAATTGTCCGGGTCTCCCAGTAAATCTGGTGAGAATAGTACTAGTAGTATTAGGATTAGGATTAGAATGATGAGCCCTAGGATATCTTTAATTGTGTAGTACGGGTGAAATGGGATTTTGTCTGAGTCAGATAGGATTCCCGAAGGGTTGTTAGATCCTGTTTCGTGGAGAAATAGTAGGTGTACTGCTGTTAGTGCTAATGCCATGAATGGAAGAACGAAGTGGAGGGCGAGGAATCGTGTTAGGGTTGCTTTATCAACTGAAAACCCCCCTCAGACTCATTCGACCAAGTCAGTCCCTACATAGGGAATTGCTGACAGAAGGTTGGTGATGACGGTTGCTCCTCAGAAGGATATTTGTCCTCATGGTAATACATAGCCTATAAATGCTGTGGCTATAATAGTGAGTAATAATACGATACCGATGTTCCATGTTTCTGCGAGGGTGTAGGAGCCGTAGTAGATTCCCCGCCCTATGTGTGCATAGAGGCAGATGAAAAATATAGAAGCTCCATTTGCGTGTATATATCGAATGATTCAACCATAGTTGACATCTCGGCAGATATGTGTGATTGATGAGAAAGCTGTGGTGGTGTCTGAAGTATAGTGTATGGCTAGAAATAGGCCCGTTAGGATTTGTAGAATTAAGCAAGTAGCGAGCAGGGATCCGAAGTTCCATCACGCCGAGATGTTTGATGGTGTGGGTAAGTCGATAAATGTGTTGTTGATGATTTTAGCTAGTGGGTGGGTTTTTCGAATGTTGGTCATTAGTGTTCTCATAGTTGAATTACAACGGTGATTTTTCATATCATTGGTCGTGGTTAGATTCCACGTGGGAATAATGATAACATATATTGTGTTTATTTTAAGTATTATTTTTGTAATTGGTTTTGTGGGTTTCTCTTCTAAGCCTTCCCCTATTTATGGCGGGTTAGTTTTGATTGTTAGTGGGGCTGTTGGTTGTGGGATTGTGTTGAGTTTTGGTGGATCCTTTTTAGGTTTAATAGTATTTTTGATTTATTTGGGAGGTATACTTGTTGTTTTTGGTTATACTACCGCCATGGCTACTGAGCAATATCCCGAGGTTTGAGTTTCTAATAAGGCTGTGTTAGGTGCGTTTATTGTGGGTCTCTTGTCAGAGTTGTTGTTGGCTTGTTATGTTTTGAAAGATGACGAGGTTGATGTTGTGTTTGGATTTAATGGTATGGGTGATTGGGTAATTTACGACACAGGAGATTCAGGATTTTTTAGTGAGGAGGCCATAGGTATTGCGGCCTTGTATAGCTATGGTACTTGATTAGTTGTTGTGACTGGGTGGTCTCTTTTCATCGGGGTGTTAGTTATTATGGAGATTACCCGTGGTACTTAATTATAGTTAGGGCTAAGGCTAGGGTAATTATAAAAGATAGAAAGTACAGCTTAATAAGACCTTTTTGATTGGAGATAATGGTTGATGACTTTATGTGAAAGTAAGAGATGGATTTCGGTAACACATTTTCCAGTCAGGTTGAGTCTATTAGTGTGAATGCCAGTTTTTGGCTTGTTGATAGGCCGATAGATGGTATGAAGCGGTGGATGATGGCAGGGAAGTACCCTAGAAGACTTGAGAATTTGAATAAGTTTGATGTATATTTAAATTTGAGTTTATGTGAGGTGGTGGTTAGCTCTAAGGCTACAATAAAGCCTAGAAGCGTTACAACGAGGGCCGTAAGTTTTAGGTAATGTGGTATGGTTGTTTGTGGGACAGTTGTGGGTGGGATGCTATAGAATATTAGGTACCCTGCGAAAATGCTCCCTACCAGTAGGCGTTTGATGGAGTTGATCAGGAGGGGGTTATTTTCACTAGATATTACTGTGGGGTTAGAGCGAGGTTGTCCTAGGAGAGTGAAGAATATGATCCGAGTACTGTAGGCGGCTGTTATGGATGTGGCTGTGAGGGTTAATATTAGGGCTCAGGCGTTTGTATATGATGTGTTGGCGGTCTCAATGATGGGGTCTTTGGAATAGAATCCTGTGAGAAATGGTATCCCTGTGAGTGCTAGGCTGCCAACTACCAGTGAAGTAGTGGTGAGTGGCAGTATTTTGAATAGGCCTCCTATCTTTCGGATGTGTTGCTCGTCGTTTAAGCTGTGAATAATGGATCCTGAGCATATGAATAGTATGGCTTTAAAGAATGCGTGGGTACAGATGTGTAGGAATGCCAGATATGGTTGGTTAATGCCGATTGTGACCATTATTAATCCTAATTGGCTCGAAGTTGAGAATGCGATAATTTTTTTGATGTCATTTTGGGTGAGGGCACAAATTGCTGTGAATAATGTGGTTGTGGCTCCTAGGCATAAGATAGCTGTTTGCGTTATTGCGCTTTGCTCAATTAGCGGGTGAAAGCGAATCAGGAGGAAAACCCCTGCTACAACTATAGTGCTTGAGTGTAGTAAGGCTGACACTGGTGTGGGTCCTTCTATGGCTGAAGGTAGTCATGGGTGGAGGCCAAACTGGGCTGATTTACCAGCTGCCGCTAGTAGAAGGCCTAAGAGTGGTATATTTAGGTTGTTGTGGTCGGCTATAAAGATTTGTTGGAGATCTCATGTATTTAGGTTTGTTAGAAATCATGCTATGGCTATGATGAGACCTACATCTCCAATGCGGTTATAAAGGATCGCTTGTAGAGCGGCTGTGTTTGCGTCCGATCGTCCGTATCACCACCCGATAAGTAGAAATGATATGATGCCAACTCCTTCTCAGCCGATAAACAGTTGGAATAAATTATTTGCGGTAACCAAAATTATTATGGTGACAAGGAATATTAGTAAGTACTTGAAGAATTTATTAATGTAAGGATCTGAGTTTATATATCATATTGAGAATTCTATGATGGATCATGTAATGAATAGGGCTACGGGTATGAAGATTATTGAGAAGTGGTCTAGTTTAAAACTTAGTGATAGTTTTACGGATTGAATAGTCATTCAGTGTCAGTTTGAGATAATCATTTCCTGTCCGGAGTAAATAAATATTATTATGGGGACTGTGCTAATTACAAAGGCATACGAGGTAGTAGTCTTTACGTACTCTGGGTAGAGTTTGCTCTTGTAGATCGAGGTGCTAGCTAATATGATAGGTATGGTGAGTATTAGTAATGTTGTGATAACGGAGGAAGTGAATAGGTTAATTACTTTTATCTGGAGTTGCACCAATTTTTTGGTTCCTAAGACCAATGGATTACTTCTATCCTTTAAAAGTTGAAAAAAGCCGTGTTTTTATACACGGAAGCATGAGTTAGCAGTTCTTGCATTCTTTTTCGGTAAATAAAAAGATTTAAACTCTTGTTATTAGACTCACAATCTAATGTTTTTACTAAACTATATTTACAGCATAGGGGCCCTAGAATTACTTTAGGATTGAGTGATAGTAGCAGTAGAGGAAGCAGGTGGAGTGCTATTAAGGCATTTTCTCGTGTAAAAGAGGGTTTGATATTTTTAATGTGGTGAGTGTATTTTCCGCGTTGTGTTATAGTGAGTATATAGAGAGAGTATAAGGCGGTGATGATGATGTTGGCTCCTATTAGGGTGATGGTAATGTTAGATCATGAGAATGAAGTAATTACTACTAGTAACTCTCCAATTAGGTTAATGGTGGGCGGTAGTGCCAGGTTGGTGAGGCTTGCTAGTAGTCATCACATGGCTATTAGTGGTAGTAGGGTTTGTAGGCCTCGTGTTAGAATTATGATTCGGCTGTGAGTGCGCTCATAGTTAGAGTTAGCCAGGCAGAATAGTATGGATGACGTGAGACCGTGGGCGATTATTAGAGCGGTCGCTCCTATATAGCTTCATGGTGTCTGGATGAGAATAGCTACAATTACTAGGGCTATGTGGCTGACAGAAGAATATGCGATTAATGACTTTAGGTCTGTTTGACGTAGGCAGATAGAGCTTGTTATAATTATGCCTCATAGCGATAATATTATGAATGGGTAGGCTATAAAATTTGTTAGGGGATTGAGTAGTGTTGTAATCCGTATTATGCCATAACCGCCTAGTTTTAGGAGTACGGCAGCAAGAACTATGGATCCGGCGATGGGAGCTTCTACGTGTGCTTTAGGCAGTCATAGGTGAAGACCATATAGGGGTATTTTTACTATAAATGCTGTCATGCACGCTAGTCATAGAAAAATATTAGATCAGGAGTCTAGTAGAGTTTGAGTCATATATTGGGTGACCAAGAGGTTTAACGTGCCTATATTGTTTTGTATGTGCAATAGTGCGATTAGAAGAGGTAGTGATCCTGTTAGTGTATAAAACAGAAAATATAGTCCTGCGTTTAAACGTTCTGTTTGGTTTCCTCATCGGGTAATGATAATTAGTGTAGGCACTAGAGTTGCCTCAAATAGGATGTAGAATATAATTAGTTCTGTAGCGGTGAAGGTCATGATTAAGAGTAGTTGCAAGGAGATTAATATTGTAATGTATAGTTTTTTTCGAGTTAGTGGTTCTTTTGATAGGTGATGCTGGCTGGCTATAAGTATCAAGGGTAGGAGTCATGTTGTGAGTGCTAGGAGAGGGGTCGAGAGAGAGTCTGTGGAGAATAATAGGGATAGGTTTAAGTTATTATCGTTAGATTGATTGAGAAATGAAAGAGTAATAAGGTTAATTAGTAGACTATAGGCCGTTGTGTTAATTCAGATCATGTTGGGTTTTGATATTCATGTAAGGGGTATTAGTATAATAGTGGGAATGATGATTTTTAGCATTGTAAGAGGTTTAAGTTCTGTACGTAATCGGTTCCGTATGTGTTAGATACTATTACTAGGAGTGATAATCCCAGGGCTGCTTCGCAGGCGGCAAATACGAGTAGGATAATGGGTGCCATATTAGCCAGTGTGAAGTGGTTATTCAGGATTGTTACTGATATTATTACAAATAGGGACAGTATTATGCCTTCCAGGCAGAGTAGGGAAGATATTAGGTGAGATCGATATACGAGCATTCCTATTAAAGACACGACAAAGGCTATAAAGATATTAGCATATACTATGGACACTTGATAATTACGATGTAAGTCGTAATTTAATGAGTCGAAATCATTTGTTTTAGGTTAAACTAATTATCATATTCTGTTCACTCAAGTCCTTTTTCGGCTCACTCATAGGCCAGGCTTGCAGCTAGAAGAGAAATTAGCATGAGTGCTGTGGTGAGTACGGTAGTTATATTATTCGCGTGTGATGCTCACGGGAGAGGTAGAAGAAGTGCGATTTCTAGATCGAATAACAGAAATGTGATGGCCACTAAGAAGAATTTTATGGAGAAAGGTAGGCGTGCTGATCCCATAGGATCAAATCCACACTCATAAGGGCTGGCTTTTTCTGAGTAAGTATTTAATTGGGGGAGTCAGAATGCGATCAGCATGAGTAGGGAGGCTAGAGCTGTATTAGTGAGTAAGGTTAGAATTATATTTATTGCTTTCTTCTGGGTTATAACCAGAACCTGGTTGATTGGAAGTCGACCGTACTTGTTGATACTAAGGAAGCAAGATCCTCATCAATAAATGGATACATATAGGAATAATCACACGACGTCTACAAAGTGTCAGTATCAGGCAGCGGCTTCAAACCCGAAATGGTGATTAGATGTGAAGTGGAATTTCAGTTGTCGTAGGAAGCATACAATTAGGAAAGTTGAGCCGATGATTACGTGGAGGCCATGAAATCCTGTGGCTACGAAGAATGTAGAGCCATAAATCCCATCTGAAATTGTGAAAGAAGTTTCATAGTACTCTGAAGCCTGTAGAAGCGTAAAATACAGGCCTAAGAGGATAGTGATGAATAGTGCTTGGAGTATATGCTTGCGGTTTCCTTCCATTAGGCAGAGGTGAGCTCAGGTAATTGATACGCCTGAAGCTAATAGCACTGAGGTGTTGAGTAGTGGGACTTCCAATGGGTTTAAGGGTGTAATACCCGTAGGTGGTCAACATCCCCCTAGTTCGGGAGTAGGAGCTAGACTGGAGTGATAGAATGCTCAGAAAAAGCCGGCGAAAAAGAACACTTCTGATGTAATGAAGAGGATTATGCCATATCGAAGACCTTTTTGCACGGTTGGTGTGTGATGGCCTTGGAATGTGCTTTCTCGTACAATGTCTCGTCATCATTGGCATATGGTCAACACACTGGTTATAAGACCCAGGAGTAGTAGGTGAGTTGAGTTGAAGTGAAATCACATAATTAGGCCTGATGTCATGAGTAGGGTTGAAAGGGCTCCTGTTAGTGGCCATGGACTAGGGTTGACTATATGATATGTATGGGTTTGGTGTGTCATTAGGTGTTGTCGTGTAAGTACAGGCTTACTAGTAAGGTAAAGACGTAGGCCTGAATTAGGGCTACAGCAAATTCAAGAATGGTGAGTAGAATGAGAATAATAAAGGTGATGAGGGCTGTGGTTATGCTGATATTGGTTAGGGCGAGGGTAGCTCCTCCAATCAGGTGTATTAATAGGTGACCTGCGGTAATGTTGGCTGTTAATCGCACGGCTAAAGCGATTGGTTGGATGAATAGGCTGATGGTCTCGATGATCACTAACATAGGGATAAGAGGAAGAGGTGTTCCTTGAGGGAGGAAGTGGGCTAAGGATGCTTTAGTTTTATATCGGAATCCTGTAATAACTGCTCCTGCTCACAGGGGGATGGCTATCCCCAGGTTTATTGATAGTTGAGTAGTAGGGGTAAATGAGTGTGGTAGAAGGCCCAGCAGGTTGGTAGATCCAATAAATATAATGAGTGATATGAGTATTAATGTTCATGTTTGTCCTTTATGATTATGAATGGATATTATCTGTTTTGATGTTAGTTGGATTAGTCATTGTTGAATTGAGGCGAGGCGATTATTAATTAATCGGTCAGGTGAGGGGAATATGATACTTGGGAATAGAATGATTAATATCACGACAGGGAAGCCCATTATGGTAGGGGAAGTGAAAGAGGTAAATAGATTTTCGTTCATTTTTTATCTCATGGTGCGTTGGTCTTCAGTGGTAGTGTTGATTTCAGTTCTAGACTCGTTTGAAGGGAGTGTTTTGAAATTTTTAATTGGAATACGATGAATAAAGTTAGAATCGTGGATACAATTACAGTGAATCACGTTGATGTGTCTAGCTGTGGCATTTCATTAAGGAAGGGCTAGAATACCTTCAATCTTTAACTTAAAAGGTTAACGCTTTATAGCTTCTTAATGATTGAAGAATTGAGGCTGATCATTTCTCAAAGTAAGACAATGGGACTGATTCAAGGACGATGGGCATGAAGCTATGGTTTGAGCCACAAATTTCTGAGCATTGACCGTAATATAGTCCTGGTCGCATAGCTATTAAGGTAGTCTGGTTTAATCGTCCTGGGATAGCATCGGTCTTTAATCCTAAAGACGGGACAGTTCATGAGTGGAGGACATCTTCTGATGAGATTAGTATACGAACTGTTATTTCTATTGGTAGTACTATTCGATTGTCTACTTCTAGCAGTCGTAGTTCTCCAGGCTTTAATTCTTGTGTTGGTACTATATAGGAGTCGAAACTTAAGTCTTCATAGTCGGTGTATTCGTAACTTCAGTACCACTGATGTCCCATAGTCTTCACGGTTAGAAAAGGACTGTTGATTTCATCTATTATATATAGGATTCGTAGTGATGGTAAAGCGATTATAATTAAAATGATGGCTGGTAGAATGGTTCATACGGTTTCTACTTCTTGTGCGTCTATAGTGTTCGTGTGAGTTAATTTTGTGGTTAGTATAGTTGAAATAATGTAGAGCACTAGCGAGCTGATTAAGAATACGATTATTAGTGTGTGGTCGTGGAAGTGTAGTAGTTCTTCCATGATAGGAGAGGTTGCATCTTGGAGGCCTATTTGAAGGGGATACGCCATAGAGGTATAAAGGACTTCCACCTATAACTTGACTTTGACAAAGTCATATAATTTTTACTAATACCTCTTTATTAAGAAAGACATAGTGGTTATGATATTGGCTTGAAACCAGTTTTAGAGGGTTCGATTCCTTCCTTTCTTACTTTGATATAACGTAAGCAGGTTCTTCAAATGTATGATATGGGGGAGGACATCCATGCAGTCATTCGATATTAGAAGACGTTAATTCAACTGCTTCTACTTCTCGTTTGGATGCGAAGGCCTCTCAGACTATGAAGACTATTAGTATGACTGCGGTTAGTGAAATGAATGAACCCATAGAAGAGACCGTGTTTCATACTGTATAGGCATCTGGGTAATCAGAATATCGCCGTGGTATTCCTGATAGTCCTAAAAAGTGTTGGGGAAAGAATGTCATGTTAACTCCAACAAATATGATTGTGAAATGGATTTTTGCTCAGGTGTTATTAAGTGTGAACCCTGAAAATAGAGGGAATCAATGGACGAACCCACCCATAATGGCAAACACCGCTCCTATTGATAGCACATAGTGGAAATGTGCTACCACGTAGTATGTGTCATGGAGGACGATGTCCAGTGATGAGTTTGCCAGTACAATGCCCGTAAGGCCTCCTACCGTAAATAGAAAGATAAATCCCAGGGCCCATAGTATGGCAGGCGATCATTTGATGTTACCTCCATGTAAAGTAGCTAGTCAGCTAAATACTTTGACTCCTGTCGGAATTGCGATGATTATGGTAGCTGAGGTAAAGTATGCTCGTGTGTCAACATCTATCCCTACAGTGAATATATGATGTGCTCATACGATAAAGCCTAAGAAGCCAATAGATATTATCGCCCAGACCATTCCTATATAGCCAAAAGGCTCCTTCTTTCCTGAGTAGTAGGTGACGATGTGTGAAATTATTCCGAATCCTGGTAGAATGAGGATATATACTTCGGGATGTCCAAAGAATCAGAATAGGTGTTGATACAAGATGGGGTCTCCTCCTCCGGACGGATGAAAGAAAGTTGTATTCAGATTTCGGTCTGTGAGCAGCATAGTAATGCCAGCCGCCACTACTGGTAGTGATAGCAGCAGTAGTACCGCTGTAATTAATACGGACCATACAAATAAGGGCGTCTGGTATTGGGATATTGCGGGAGGTTTTATATTGACAATGGTTGTGATAAAGTTAATGGCCCCTAGAATGGATGATACCCCTGCCAAGTGAAGAGAGAAAATTGTCAGGTCCACGGATGGTCCTGCGTGAGCTAGGTTACCTGCAAGAGGAGGGTAGACGGTTCATCCGGTTCCCGCTCCCGCCTCTACCATGGATGAAGCCAATAGTAGTAGAAAAGAAGGTGGCAATAGTCAAAAGCTTATATTGTTTATCCGAGGAAATGCTATGTCGGGGGCTCCGATTATTAGGGGAACTAATCAGTTTCCAAAACCTCCGGTTATGATGGGTATAACTATGAAGAAGATTATTACGAATGCATGGGCGGTGACAATTACGTTGTAGATTTGGTCGTCCCCTAATAGAGTGCCAGGTTGACCTAGTTCTGCACGGATCAACAGGCTGAGGGCAGTACCAGCCATTCCGGCCCAAGCGCCGAATAATAAATAGAGAGTGCCGATGTCCTTGTGATTTGTGGAGAATAGTCATCGATTTATAAACATAGGTAAAATGGCTGACGATAGCATTAGACTGTAAATCTAAGAACGGAGGTTACAGCCCTCCTTTTACCAGGCCCTGTAGTGAACGTCACGTTGAATTGCAAATTCAAAGAAGCAGCTTCAATCCTGCCGGGGCTTCTCCCGCCTTTTTTTTCTACGCGGCGGGAGAAGTAGATTGAAGCCAGTTGACTAGGGTATTTAGCTGTTAACTAAAGTTTCGTGGGATAAAGGCCCACCTGTCTAGGAAGGGCTTAGCTTAATTAAAGTAGTTGATTTGCATTCAGCTGATGTGGGGTAAAATCTCGCAGTCCTTAGGTAGATCTCAGAGATTAAGTCGACGTTACTTACTTAGGGCTTTGAAGGCTCTTGGTCTAGTTTAACCTAAATCTCTAGTCTAAGATGATTATTATTGGAGTTACGGGGAGTAGTATGGTAGAGAGAATAATCAGTGGAGGCAGGAGGACCGTCTTTTTTATGCTTTCGAATTGTCATTTTATTTTTATGTTGTTAGTTGATGGGAATATTGTTAGTGTTGTAGTGTAAGATAAGCGTATGTAGAAGTGTAAGTTCAGCAGTGCGGATATGGCTATGAACATTGGTAGAATAATTATGTCATTTTTTGTTAATTCCTGAATGATTATTCATTTGGGTACGAATCCTGAGAGAGGGGGAAGACCTCCGAGTGATAATATTAGTATTAAGATTATGGATGTCATGAGAGGTAGTTTGTTTCATGTGTGGGATAGGGATAGAGTTGTTGTGGATGAGTTGTGGATAAATAGTATAAATGTTCCGAGTGTTATAGTGATGTAGATTGCTAGGTTTAGGAGTGTTAGGGTAGGGTTGTATATTATGATGATGGCCATTCATCCTATGTGGGTAATTGATGAATAGGCTAGAATTTTTCGAAGTTGGGTTTGGTTTAGTCCTCCTCAGCCTCCAACTAGTACTGATGCGATTGCTATGGTGGCTAGCAGTCCGGAGTTAATGGATGGTGCGATTTGGTAGAGGATTGATAGGGGTGCGATTTTTTGTCATGTGAGTAAAATTATGCCTGAGGGTAGTGAGGTTCCTTGAGTGACTTCAGGTACTCAGAAGTGGAATGGGGATATTCCGAGTTTTATTGCCAAAGCGATGGTTATAAGGCTTGATGATGTTAGATTAGAAGGTTTTAGTACTGTTCATTGTCCTGAGAGTATCAAGTTAATGGTAATGCCTAATATTAATAGTATTGATGCAGTGGCCTGGGTCAGGAAGTACTTTGTGGATGCTTCCATGGTTCGTGGGTTGAAATTTTTTATTAGGATAGGAATGAAAGCTAGTATATTCATTTCGAATCCAATTCAAATTATTAGTCAGTGGGAACTTATTAAGACGATTATGGTTCCTGATATTATGGTTGTTATGATTGTAATATAGGTTAGGGGTTTTATTAGTATGGGAAGGGAGTTAACCAACATTTTCGGGGTATGGGCCCGATAGCTTATTTAGCTGACCTTACTGTAGGATATGGTGTATTGCTGGGTAGCACGAAGATCTTTGAATTCTTAAGATTAGGTTCGATTCCTATTGTCCTAGAAATAAGAGGACTCGAACCTCTATTATTTACTCTATCAAAGTAACTCTTTTAATCAGACATATTTCTTAGGTTTGTGGAGGAACACTTGCTGTGATGATGGGCAGAGCCATGTGTCATATGCATAGAGCTAGTGTTAAAGGTAGAAAGTTTTTTCATAAGAGGTGTATGAGTTGGTCATAACGAAATCGTGGGTATGATGCCCGAATTCATAGGAATAAGGTTGTCAGTGCTAGAGTTTTTAGTGTGAAGTTGATGGTATATAGTTCAGGCATGCAAGGATTGTGGTATGCTCCAAGAAATAGAGTGGTTGTGAATATATTTATTATAATAATGTTGGCGTATTCTGCCAGGAAGAATAGGGCGAATGGGCCTGCTGCATATTCTACGTTGAAGCCTGATACTAATTCTGATTCTCCTTCGGTTAGATCAAAGGGGGCACGATTGGTCTCTGCTAAAGTGGAGATAAATCATATCATAGCTAGGGGTCATGCGGGGAAAATAAGTCAGAGATGTTCTTGAGTAGTAATTAGTGTGGTTAAAGAGAATGATCCGTTTATTAGTAGTACGGACAAGAGAATGATGGCTAGGGTTACTTCGTAGGAGATGGTTTGAGCCACAGCTCGTAGGGCTCCGATGAGAGCGTATTTTGAATTCGATGCTCATCCGGATCATAGAATTGAATAGACGGCTAGGCTTGATATTGCTAGTATAAATAGTACTCCTAGGTTTATATTGATGAGAGGGTACGGTATAGGTAGTGGGGCCCATATGGTTAGGGCTAGGGATAGGGCCAGAATAGGGGCTATGATGAATATTGATGTGGAGGAAGTTGATGGTCGTAAAGGTTCCTTGGTAAAAAGTTTTATGGCATCCGCGATGGGTTGGAGAAGTCCGTATGGTCCTATAATGTTGGGTCCTTTTCGGAGTTGTATGTAACCTAGTACTTTTCGTTCTACTAGAGTTAGGAAGGCTACGGCTAGAAGAATGGGGATTATTAGTGAGAGAATATTAATTATAAACATGTTATTAGGGAGAGGAGTTGAACCTCTGGGGGTAAAAGTTTAAGTTTTATGCAATTACCGGGCTCTGCACCCTAACAAACCCTGTTCTCGGGTTGAATAGTGTAGTTGAACTGGTTATATTAAGATTATGTCATATATTAGTCCTAAGGCGCTTCGTCGAAGTGGGCCTTGTCTCTCTTGTCCTTTCGTACTGGGAGAGACTGGTTAATAGATAGAAACCGACCTGGATTACTCCGGTCTGAACTCAGATCACGTAGGACTTTAATCGTTGAACAAACGAACCTTTAATAGCTGCTGCACCATTGGGATGTCCTGATCCAACATCGAGGTCGTAAACCCTATTGTCGATATGAACTCTTGAATAGGATTGCGCTGTTATCCCTAGGGTAACTTGTTCCGTTGATCAAAAATTTTTGGATCAATTTATGATAGTTCGTTTTGACAGGTATGTCTAGATTTATATCACTCGGGGGTTGTGCTATACTCCGAGGTCGCCCCAACCTAAATTGCTGTCCCACTGTAGAATTACTTTGTCCCATATTGGTTAATTGAATAAATTCTATTGGGTTAGTTAATTAAAGCTCCATAGGGTCTTCTCGTCTTATTGTTATATTCCCGCCTCTTCACGGGAAGGTCAATTTCACCGATTGGAAGTAAGAGACAGTAGAACCCTCGTGTGGCCATTCATACAAGTCCTTATTTATAGAACAAATGATTATGCTACCTTTGCACGGTCAGAATACCGCGGCCGTTTAACTCGTGTCACTGGGCAGGCAGTGCCTCTAATACTAGTAATGCTAGAGGTGATGTTTTTGGTAAACAGGCGGGGTTTGTGTTTGCCGAGTTCCTTTTACTTCTTTTAATCTTTCCTTAGTTGCATTCCTGTGTTGGTTTAACAATTGGGCTAATAGGTGTTTTATCGGTTAATTATTCTTATTTTGTTGTTAACTATCAGTGATTATTCGTTTCGGATATAAGTTTATGCAAGGAGAAAAAAATTCTTGTTACTCATATTAGCATTGTCTCTTCTATGATTTAATAGATTGGCCCAGTATTATATTAGGAGTTGATTTTCGGGGGATTCTTGGTATTATGGTAACTCAGTTGTTGAGCTTTAACGCTTTCTTGATTGGTGGCTGCTTTTAGGCCTACTGTGGTCTTTCGATCATATTTACTCTCTAAGTAAGGTTGTATCCTTTATCTAAAAAGCTGTACCTTTTTAGACTATAATTTAAACTTACATTAAAATTTCTAGGTTGTTAGGTAAGTTTAAAGTTGAACTGAAATTCCATTCTGGGCAACCAGCTATCACCAGGCTCGTTTGGCTTTTCACCTCTACCTATAGATCTTCTCACTATTTTGCGACATAGATGAGTTCATCCCTGGGGATTGTCCGTAGGTAGCTCGTCTGGTTTCGGGGGGCTTAGCTTAAGTTCTCTTTGTTAAGTTGTTCTAGCTAACTCATTATGCAAAAGGTAGAAGGGGTAATCTTTGCTGTTTTTTACTTTAGGTGTTCTTTCATCTTTCCTTAGGGTACTATCTCTATAGCTCCTGTTAAAAATTTCTATCTCCTATACTCTAGTAAGCGATTAAATGTTTTGTTTTATTTTTGCTTGGTAGTTGGGTTGTTTAGTTGTTTGGGCTAGTCCTAGTTCAAAGTGGTCATTGTGTGTGAAATCTTCTGGGTGTAAGCCAGATGCTTTATTTAAGCTACACTTTGGTTCATCCAAGCACACTTTCCAGTACGCTTACCTTGTTACGACTTATCTCCTCTAGATATATTTTTGTACATATTTATGTATGTTTGAGGTGTTGTTTGAGGAGGGTGACGGGCGGTGTGTGCGTGCTTCATGGCCCAGTTCAATTAAGCTCTCTATTCTTAATTTACTACTAAATCCACCTTCAGTTATTAATTTCATAAAAACTTTTGTATGACTGTTCTTACTTAGAAAATGTAGCCCATTTCTTTCCATCCCATGGGTTACACCTTGACCTAACTTTTTTACGTGTGATGATTATGCTTACTTTCTTTCCTTTTAAGGGTTTGCTGAAGATGGCGGTATATAGACTGAATTAGCAAGGGATGGTGAGGTTTATCGGGGTTTATCGATTATAGAACAGGCTCCTCTAGAGGGATGTGAAGCACCGCCAAGTCCTTTGAGTTTTAAGCTGTTGCTAGTAGTTCTCTGGCGAGTAATTTTGTTGTGCAAATTATTTGTGTTTATGGCTAAGCATAGTGGGGTATCTAATCCCAGTTTGGGTCTTAGCTGTCGTGTAATCGGAGTTAATAAAGTCACTTTCGTAGTATATTTTGTATTAGCGGCAGCTTTTTACGGCTTGGCTAAGTTTTAACTTTAGTGTTAGCTAATCCTTAACACACTTTACGCCGTGAACCTGTTAATTTGGGTTAATCGTATGACCGCGGTGGCTGGCACGAAATTTACCAACCCTCGAGTTAATATAGCTTAGTCGAACTTTCGTTCATAGCTTAATTTTTATTACTGCTGTGTCCCGTGGGGGTGTGGTTGAGCAAGGCGTTGTGAGCTACTTGTTGAGTGTGCTTGATACCCGCTCCTTTTAATCGGCTAAATGGATTTAAAGGGCATTCTCACTGGGATGTAGAGACTTGCATGTATAATCTTATTAAAAATTAACAGGAGGGCTAGGACCAAACCTTTATGTTTATGGAGTCTCATGACTCATCTAGGCATTTTCAGTGCCTTGCTTTGATCAAAATTAAGCTACATTAAC